TCTTCTTCTTCTTCTTCTTCTTCTTCTTCTTCTTCTTCTTCTTCTTCTTTTTGTTTTTTGTTTGTTTGTTTGTTTGTTTGTTTTGGTTGCAATGTTCCTTGCTATAATATAGGGATTGGGGCCTTGGCTCTGGGAATTACCTGGGTTTAAAATCTTTCCCAGTTTTATGTGACCCTGGGTACTGATTTTTAGGGCCTGGATGTCTTCAGTTTTAAAGTGGGGGTGATAGCAGTTCCACCCCAATGTGATGGTTGTGAGGGTTAAATGTGCTGATATCCAGAGTCCATCAATGTCTCATACACAGCAAGAGCTCAATTAGTGTTAGCCATGGTACTTAATACTAGAGTTCTCGGTGAATATGTATTGACTACATCAGAGCACCTTTTAATTTTAGCCTTTGAATTCAGAATAAGGTTGTGTGAAAATAAGATCTTGGCAGCCTCTTGTGGGTTACTTGGTCAGAGTCTGGGATTGGGTAGGGGAGAAAATTATAGGCAGAGAATCCCTTGAAGTTAAAACATGATTTCAGGGATGGGACATAACTGCTGTAGAGCACCTGCCTGATGTGTGTGGTGCTCTGGGTCATATTACTAGAGTATAATAGATGATGATGATGTTCTGGGTCATATTACTAGAATATAATAGGTGATGATGATGATAAGGAAGAAGAAAGAAAGAGAAAGAAAAAAGTAAAGGAAGGAAGGGAGAGAGAAACAGAGAGAGAGGGGGAAAGAGGGAGAGGGGAGGGGAGGGGGAAGGAGGAGAGAGAGAGAGAGAGAGAGAGAGAGAGAGAGAGAGAGAGAGAGAGAGAGAGAGAGAGAGAGAGAGAAGCTTTCTGCATTGGCTCAGGTTGTTACCGCGGGAGCCAGCAGGGGGAGCCCAAGGCGCCGGAGCACGCAGGAGCCAGGAAGGGACCCAGAAAGTTACAAGTGACCCATCACCTACTGTGTGCAGTGTATCTGAAGGGGGGCAGGGAAGTTGGCGGCTCCGGTGACCAAGCGAGGTGCCCTAGGATAAATGTAGAGGCCAGACTTCCCTAGCCCGAGGGCCCTTTCCCTGCAGCGCGGCCTGGCTTTGGGTGCTGCAGAAGCCTGGGCAGCTGCAAGTTCAAAGCTGAAGACAGTCCCCAGGCCACCCTACGGAGGTGGCGATGACCTGCACTTAGCGGAGGGCACAGTCTCTTCGTAGTGCCCCAGTGTCGGCTCAGAGCAGGCAGCCACTGCTACCCCTCACAGCTGGAGGCGCGGGGCAACTGTCCCCACACACGGCAGCGTGGAGGTGAAAACCGCACCCAGTCTCCCTCCCTTACACACCCCTGCACAGTCCCAGCTCTAGCCATGGCGGGGCTGCCTTGTGGGATGTGGCCTTGTGGGATGTGGCCTTGTGGGATGTGCCTTGTGGGATGTGGCCTTGACGGTGGGTGGGTGTCATTCCGGATCCTACTTTTTGCCACGCCAGATTTTCTTGTCCACTACCTTGAGCTGGCAGGTGGAGAGCAGAAAGACGAGCTAATCCAGGACCCTGGTAGGTATATCTGCTAAAATGAGGGCAGCTATATGTGCACGTAATAGTTGTTTTCACAGATATTTTTAAATACTGGAGCCCCTGACAGTCCATCATTTCAGCTAATTAAAAATCAGTTGCCTCCCGGTTTCTAAAAATGCCAGAATTAGAAAGACGTGGAAGGGCAAAGATGGCAGACTTTTTTTTTTTTTTTCCTGGCTCTAGAGCAGACAGGCATGCCCTAGGCAGGGTGCGGTCTGGCGTCTGGATCTGGGAGGGAGACAGTCCAAAGGGACACCTTTGCTTGGCTCCCGGTGTGCACAGGTGGAGGGGTCACTGAATACGGGGTCTCCTGTTATAACGCCGTGGAAACCCTCCCCAGACCTCGTCCCTCTCAATGCCCCTTCTGGTACTTCTGTCCAGCAGGATCCTGACTCCTGCCCTCTCAGATGCCCAAGCATATGTGGGTTGGAGTCCCCGCTCGACATTTCCAGCTGGGTTATTTAACCTCTTCTACCCATTGAGCCAAAAATACCAGCCAGTTGGGAGATGCAGACTCCGTGTGGAAGGCAGTCTGGACACCGTGGTGGAAGGAAGCATTGCTGGAATTTTCTTTTATTTAATCCTCCCTCACCAGAGAAGTCTCCTTCTCCTGGTGCTTGGGTGAAGAAGCCAATGTCTGGAAGAAGAGGGTTGGGGGCATGGACATTCTTGTTCCTGGGGCCGTGAGCAAAAGTCTTTGGTAGTTCCCTAGGCCTCTTTAGAATTAGTTTCTGAGACCAACCAGGCATGGTGGTATGAAGCCTGTAAACCCCAGCACTTGTAAAAACTGAGACAGGAGTTCCAGGCCAGTCTGGCCTATGTGTGGTAACACCAACAACAGCAGTACTCAGGGGTGACAAGGGGCATCTACGGTGACTGGCTGAAGGCTGAGGTCCCTCACCAGGGGTCTTGGTTTTGGGAAATGGAGAAAAGTAGGACAGTTGGCTTCCAGGCCTCACCTTTTCCCAGTGGCAAAGTGGGATTGCCTATTTTTCAGATGAGAAATTGTTTTTCCGCAGGCACAGAGGCTGTACCTGCACCTGCTGCTGTCTCAGCCGTAACCGCGGCTCCTCAGTTCCTGGCCCACTTCTCAGGCAGTGACCGGGCAGGATCCACCCCCTGCCACTCCCACCAAAGGTTCCTAACTAAATCTTTACCATTCTGTTTATCAATAAGACTCGGGAGTCAGAGACTGGAGTGAAAGCCTGCCAGCTCAGAGAGACTGAGGAGCAATCAGCTGCCCCGGCTTTCAGATAGAGCATGTCCTTCCATGCCACCAAACCAAAAAAGACCCCCACACTCAGAGTCCCTCCCTCCTGCTTCCTGTGCGTCTCTCTATCCATCTCCCCGACTCCCTCTGATCTCTATGATTACTTTCTGTCAACTAGTTGCTGGCTCCACCTCCTGACCCAAGAATGATTTTATTTAATTCATGCAAATGCAAACCCAGGTTTCACGGTGTGATCGAACAGCTCACAAGAAATGGTTGCTTGGGGGTCAGCAGAAGTCAGAGGGTCCAGAAAGTTTCTGAGATTTGGCTTGCCTGGGGGCTGAACAAAAGATTCTTCTAGGTGTCTTCTTGGGTAAACTCTCCCCAAGAGGGAGCCTTTTGTCTGGCTCTGGGGTCAGTGACTCATTTCTGGTTCCCTCCTGGGAGGGACTTGGTTGTCCCCTATTTCAAAAGTAGAGAAGGTAAGACTGAGATTGTCAAAGTGGAAATTGTCTTCACAGAGTGATGGAGGTAAGGGAGAAAGTCTCATCAGAGGTCTCAGGAGTGATGGAGGTGAGGGGGAAAGTCTCATCAGAGGTCTCAGGAGTGATGGAGGTAAGGGAG